GATCTATAGATTGCTGGATAGTTAGATCGCTGGATCTTTAGATCGCTAGATCGGTAGATCGCTGGATCTGTAGTTCGCTCGAGCTGTAGATCGCTGGATCTATAGATCGCTAGATTGTTAGATCGCTGGATCAGTAGATCTGTAGATCGCTGGATCGGTAGATCGCTGGAGCGTTAGATCGCTGGATCTATAGATCGCTGGATCGATAGATCTCTAGATCTGTAGAGCGCTAGATCGTTAGATCGCTTGATCTGTAGATCGCTGGATCGGTAGATCGCTGGATCTGTAGATCGCTGGATCGGTAGATTGCTTTCGCTGTAGATCGCTGGATCTTTAGATCGCTGGATCGGTAGATCGCTGGATCTGTAGATCGCTGGATAGGTAGATAGATGGATCTGTTAATGGCTGGATCGGTAGATCGCTTTCGCTGTAGATCGCTGCAACTATAGATCGTTGGATCGTTACATCGCTGGATCGGTAGATCGCTGGATCTGTAGATCGTTGGATCGGTAGATAGATGGATCTGTTAATGGCTGGATCGGTAGATCGCTTTCGCTGTAGATCGCTGGAACTATAGATCGTTGGATCGTTACATCGCTGGAGCTGTAGATCGCTGGATCGTAAGATCGCTGAATCGGTAGATCGATGGATCAGTAGATCAGTAGATCGCTGGATCTGTAGATCGCTAAAGCTGTAGATCGCTGGATCTATAGATTGCTGGATCTATAGATGGCTGGATCTGTAGATAGCTGGATCGGTAGATTGCTGGATCTGTAGATCGCTAGATCTATAGATCGCTGAATCTATAGATCGCTGGATCTGTAGATAGCTGGATCGGTAGATTGCTGGATCTTTAGATCGCTAGATCTATAGATCGCTTGATCTATAGATCGCTGGATAGGTAGATCGCTTGATCGGTAGATCGCTGGATCGGTAGATTGCTGGATCTATAGATCGCTGGATCTCTAGATCGCTGGATCTGTAGATCGCTGGATCGGTAGATCGCTAAAGCTGTAGATCGCTCAATATATAGATCGCTGGATCGTCAGATCGCTGGATCGGTAGATCGCTAGATCGATCGCTGGATCTGTAGATCGCTGGATCTATAGATCGCTGGATCTGTAGATCCCTGGATCGTAAGATCGCTGGATCGGTAGATCGCTGGATTTGTAGATTGCTCGATCTGTAGATCGGTAGATCGATGAATCTATAGATCGCTGGATCTGTAGATAATTGGATCGGTAGATCGCTGGATCGGTAGATCGCTGGATCTATAGATCACTGGATCTGTAGATCGCTGGATCGATAGATCGCAGAAGCTGTAGATCGCTGGATCTATAGATTGCTGGATCGTTAGATCGCTTGATCTTTAGATCGTTGGATCGGTAGATCGCTGGAGCTGTAGTTCGCTGGAGCTCTAGATCGCTGGATCTATAGATCGCTAGATTGTTAGATCCCTGGATCTGTACATCTGTAGATCGCTCGATTGCTAGATCGCTGGAGCTGTAGATCGCTGGAGCTGTAGATCGCTGGAGCTGTAGATCGCTGGATCTATAGATCGCTGGATCTGTAGATCCATGGATCGTAAGATCGCAGGATCGGTAGATCGCTGGATTTGTAGATTGCTCGATCTGTAAATCGGCAGATCGCTGGATCTGCAGATAGCTGGATCGGTAGATTGCTGGATCTGTAGATCGCTACATCTAGAGATCGCTCGATCGGTAGATCGCTCGATCGGTAGATCGCTGGATCTATAGATCGCTGGATCGGTAGATCGCTGGATCTGTAGTTCGCTCGAGCTGTAGATCGCTGGATCGGTAGATCGCTGGATCTATAGATCTCTAGATCTGTAGAGCGCTGGATCGTTAGATCGCTTGATCTGTAGATCGCTGGATCGGTAGTTTGCTGGATCGGTAGATCGCTTGAGCTGTAGATCGCTGGATCGGTAGATCGCTGGATCTATAGATCAGTGGATCTATAGATCGCTGGATCTGTAGATCGCTGGATCGGTACATCGCTGGAGGTGTAGATCGCTGGATCTATAGATCGCTGGATCGTTAGAACGCTGGATCTATAGATCGATGGATCTATAGATCGCTGGATCAGTAGATCGCATGATCAGTAAATCGCTGGACCTGTAGATCGCTGGATCGGTAGATCGATGGATCTATAGATCGCTGGATCTGTAGATCGCTGGATCGGTACATCGCTGGAGCTGTAGATCGCGGGATCGGTAAATCGCTGGATTTTTAGATCGCTGGATCTGTAGATCGGTAGATGGCTGGATCTATAGATCGCTGGATCTGTAGATAGCTGGATCGGTAGATTGCTGGATCTGTAGATCGCTAGATCTACAGATCGCTTGGTCTATAGATCGCTCGATCGGTAGATCGCTGGATCAGTAGATCGCTGGATAGGTAGATGGCTGGATCACTAGATCGCAGGATCGGTAGATGGCTGGATCTATAGATCGCTGGATCTATAGATCGCTCGATCTGTAGATAGCTTTATCGGTAGATTGCTGGATATGTAGATTACTAGATCTATAGATCGCTGGATCTACAGATCGCTGGAGCTGTACATCGCTGGATTGTTAGATCGCTGAATCTGTAGATCTGTAGATCGCTGGATCGGTAGATCGCTGGATCTCTAGATCGCTGGATCTATAAATCGCCGGATCTATAGATCACTGGATCTGTAGATCGCTGGATCGATAGATCGCAGAAGCTGTAGATCGCTGGATCTATAGATTGCTGGATCGTTAGATCGCTGGATCTTTAGCTCGTTGGATCGGTAGATCGCTGGATCTGTAGTTCGCTGGAGCTCTAGATCGCTGGATCTATAGATCGCTAGATTGTTAGATCCCTGGATCTGTACATCTGTAGATCGCTCGATTGCTAGATCGCTGGAGCTGTAGATCGCTGGATCTATAGATCGCTGGATCGATAGATCTCCGGATCTGTAGAGCGCTTGATCGTTAGATCGCTGGATCTGTAGATCGCTGGAGCTGTAGATCGTTGGATCTTTAGATCGCTGGATCGGTAGATCACTGGATCGGTAGATCGATGGATCTGTTGATGGCTGGATCGGTAGATCGCTGGCGCTGTAGATCGCTGGAACTATAGATCGTTGGATCGTTACATCGCTTAATCGGTAGATCGCTGGGTTTGTAGATCAATGGATCTGTAGATCGGTAGATCGCTGGATCTGTAGATCGCTGGATCGGTAGATCGAAGGACCTGTAGATCGCTGGATCGGTAGATCGGTGGATCTATAGATCGCTGGATCGGTAGATCACTAGATCTATAAATCACTAGATCGCTGGATCTGTAGATCGCTGGATCGGTAGATCGCTTGAACTATAGATGACTAGATCGCTGGATCTGTAGATCGCTGGATCGGTAGATCAATGGATCTATAGATCGCTGGATCGGTAGATCGCTGGATCTGTAGATCGCTGGATCGGTAGATCGCTGGATCTATAGATCGTTGGATCTGTAGATCGCTGGATCGTAAGATCGCTGGACCGGTAGATCGCTGGATTTGTAGGTCGATTTATCTGTAGATCGGTAGATTGCTGGATTTGTAGATTGCTAGATCTATAGATCGCTGGATCTATAGATCGCTCGATCTGTAGATTGCTGGATCGGTAGATCGCTGGATCGGTAGATCGCTGAAGCTGTAGATCGCTGGATTGTTAGCCCGCTGAATCTGTAGATCTGTAGATCGCTGGAGCTGTACATCGCTGGATCTATAGATCGCTAGATCTTTAGATCGCTAAATCGGTAGATCGCTGGATCTGTAGATCGCTGGATCGGCAGATCGGTGGATCTGTTGATCGCTGGATCGCTAGACCGCTGGATGTATAGATCGTTGGATCGTTAGATCGCTGGAGCTGTAGATCGCTGGATCTGTAGATCGCTGGATAAGTAGATCGGTAGATTTGTAGATCGCTGAATCTGTAGATCGGTAGATCGCTGGATCTATAGATCGCTAGATCTGTAGATAGCTGGATCGGTAGATTGCTGGATCTGTAGATCGCTGGATCTATAGATCGCTGGATCGGTAGATCGGTGGATCGGTAGATCGCTGGAGCTGTAGATCGCTGGATCTATAGATCGCTGGATCTGTAGATTCATGGATCGTAAGATCGCAGGATCGTTAGATCGCTGGATTTGTAGATTGCTCGATCTGTAGATCGGCAGATCGCTGGATCTGTAGATAGCTGGATCGGTAGATCGCTGGATCTGTAGATCGCTAGATCTATAGATCGCTGCATCGGTAGATCGCTCGATCGGTAGATCGCTGGATCTATAGATCGCTGAATCTATAGATCCCTGGATCAGTAGATCGCTGGATCTGTAGATCGCTGGATCTATAGATCGCTGGATCGATAGATCTCTAGATCTGTAGAGCGCTGGATCGTTAGATCGCTTGATCTATAGATCGCTGGATCGGTAGTTTGCTGGATCGGTAGATCACTGGAGCTGTAGATCGCTGGATCGGTAGATCGCTGGATCTATAGATCGGTGGATCTATAGATCGCTGGATCTGTAGATCGCTGGATCGGTACATCGCTGGAGGTGTAGATCGCTGGATCTATAGATCGGTGGATCTATAGATCGCTGGATCTGTAGATCGCTGGATCCGTACATCGCTGGAGGTGTAGATCGTTGGATCTATAGATCGTTGGATCGTTAGATCGCTGGAGCTGTAGATCGCAAGATCTGTAGATCGCTGGATGGGTAGATCGGTGGATTTGTAGATGCCTGGATCTGTAGATCGGTAGATCGCTGGATCTATAGATCGCTGGATCTGTAGATAGCTGGATCGGTAGATTGCTTGATCTGTAGATCGCAAGATCTATAGATCGCTGGATCTATAGATCGCTGGATCGATAAATCGCTGAAGCTGTAGATCGCTGGATCTATGGATTGCTAGATCGTTAGATCGCTGGATCTTTAGATCGCTCGATCGGTAGATCGCTGGATCTGTAGTTCGCTGGAGCTGTAGATCGCTGGATCTATAGATCGCTGGATTGTTAGATCGCTGGATCTGTAGATCGTTGGATCTATAGATCGCTGGATCGATAGATCTCTGGATCTGTAGAGCGCTGGATCGGTAGATCGCTCGATCTGTTGATCGCTGGATCGGTAGATCGCTGGATCTGTAGATCGCTGGATCGGTAGATCGCTGGATCTTTAGATCGCTCGATCGGTAGATTGCTGGATCTGTAGATCGCTGGAACGGTAGATCGATGGATCTGTTGATGGCTGGATCGGTAGATCGCTGGCGCTGTAGATCCGCTGGAACTATAGATCAGTGGATCGTTGCATCGCCGGAGCTGTAGATCGCTGGATCGTAAGATCGCTTAATCGTTAGATCCCTGGGTTTGTAGATCGATTGATCTGTAGATCGGTAGATCGCTGGATCTGTAGATCCCTGGATCGGTAGATCGATGGATCTATAGATCGCTGGATCTGTAAATCGCAGGATCAGTAGATCGCTGGACCTGTAGATCGCTGGATCGGTAGATCGATGGATCTATAGATCGCTGGATTGGTAGATCACTGGATCTATAGATCACTAGATCGCTGGATCTGTAGATCGCTGGATCGGTAGATCCATGGATCTATAGATCGCTGGATCGGTAGATCGCTGGATCTGTAGATCGTTGGATCGGTAGATTGCTGCATCTTTTGATCGCTGGATCTATAGATCGCTGGATCTATATATCGGTGGATCTGTACATCGCTGGATCTGTAGATCGCTGGATCGGTAGATCGCTGGATTTGTAGGTCGATGGCTCTGTAGATCGGTAGATCGCTGGATCTATAAATCGCTTGATCTATAGATCGCTGGATCTGTAGATCGCTGGATCGGTAGATCGCTGGAGGTAGATCGCTGGATCTATAGATCGCTGAATCGTTGGAACACTGGATCTATAGATCGATGGATCTATACATCGCTGGATCTGTAGATCGCGTGATCCGTAGATCGCTGGATCTGTAGATCGCTGGATCGGTAGATCGATGGATCTATAGATCGCTGGATCTGTAGATCGCTGGATCGGTAGATCGCTGGAGCTGTAGATCGCTGGATCGGTAAATCGCTGGATTTGTAGATCGCTGGATCTGTAGATCGTTAGATCGCTGGATCTATAGATTGCTGGATCTGTAGATACCTGGATCGGTAGATTGCTGGATATGTAGATTAATGGATCTATAGATCGCTGGATCGGTGGATCGCTGGATCTGTAGATGGCTGGATCGGTAGATCGCTGGAGCTTTAAATCGCTGGATCTATAGATCGCTGGATCGGTAGATCGCTGGATCTGTAGATTGCTGGATCTGTAGATCGCTGGATTGACAGATCGCTTGATCTGTATATTGCTCGATCAGTAGATCGCAGGACCTGTAGATCGCTGGATCTATAGATGGCTGGATCTTTAGATCGCTGGATCGGTAGATCGCTGGATCTGTAGATCGCTAGATCAGTAGATCGCTGGATCTGTTGATTGCTGGATCGGTAGATCGCTGGAGCTGTAGATCGCTGGATCTATAGATCGCTGGATCTGTAGATCGCTGGATCGGTAGATCGCTGCATCGGTAGATCGATGGATCTGTAGATCGCTGGATCGGTAGATCGCTCGATCTGTAGGTCGCTGGATCTATAGATCCCTGGATCTATAGGAGGCTGGATCTGTAGATAGCTGGATCGGTAGATTGCTAGATCTGTAGATTGCTAGATCTATAGATCGCTGGATCTATAGATCGATGGATCTGTAGATCGCTGGATCGGTAGATCGCTGGATCAGTAGATCGCTCGAGCTGTAGATCGCTGGATTGTTAGATCGCTGAATCTGTAGATCTGTAGATCGCTGGATCGATAGATCTCTGGATCTGTAGATCGCTGGATTGTTAGATCGCCGGATCTGTAGATCGCTGGATCGCTGGATCTATAGATCGCTGGATCTGTAGATAGCTGGATCGGTAGATTTTTGGATCTGGAGATCGCTAGATCTATAGATCGATGGATCTATAGATCGCTGGATCGGTAGATCGCTGGATCTGTAGACCGCTAGATCGGTAGATCGCTGGAGCTGTAGATCGCTGGATCTATAGATCGCTAGAACTTTAGATCGCTGGATCGGTAGATCGCTGGATTTGTAGATCGCTGGATCGGCAGATCGCTGGATCTGTTGATCGCTGGATCGGTAGATCGCTGGAGCTGTAGATCGCTGGATGTATAGAT